TGGAGCCTGCTTCGGATTCTATGTCTCCCCCTCTCTCTGCCCCCGCCCTGCGCGCTCAGTCTCTCTCGCTCTCAAAAATAAATAAACGTTTAGAGAAAAAAAGTATTTACTAAGCAACTGCCAATGGACACAAAACCGAGGCTGGAGGGGTCGGCCTGCCGGGGACAGTGTCACAGCACCGGCAAACGGCAGAGGTAAGGATGGCTGGGACTCGGAGCCCTGGAGAAGACGCAGGCTGTCACAGTCAGAACTTCCAAGGCCACAGAGGCCCCTGGCCCCGCTGAGTCTGGGCACGAACCTTCTTTGCAAAGACAAGCACATGTCTCCAGCCGCTGGCATCACCCCCTGCTCGGGGACGGAGGCAGCCTGGCGGTGATGAGCCGTCACAGGCCTGGCCTGGCCCCTGAACCCTGTGCCCTCCCCACCTCAGACAAGTAGGCAGCCTGTGAGCCAGCAAGGGGAAGGGGAACATCCTACAGCCTGGGTGAACAACGGCCCTCGCATTCCTGGCCAAATCAGCACCGGAAGGATTGAGCTCCAAGAAACCCATGGGATCAGAGGGCAAGAACGCTTTAGTATCAAACATCATTAACACACCTCTGACAACAAACACATTTACAACTCTTGCTGGAAAAACTGATCAAATTGGGTTATAAAGATCTAGAGCCCCGCTACCTCTTTCCTATACGCATGCTGTGAGCTACAGGAAATGAAAAAGGTTAAAGTCATCAACATTCTGAAGACAGACTTACATTTTAGGAACTTGGCATGCAGATTAACACAGTTTTCCAATTTCAAAGCCTCAATAAAGGCCATTTTTACAAGGTTCATAAATATATGCTAATAACATGTTTCTGTGTTTTTATATCTTGTATACCTTTTGTATTTTCTTTGAATCTTTCTGAGCATTCTCTCGGAGTGGTACTTTTCCAAATAACTTCCATCCCAAGTCATTCTGTCTGTCAAGTCTTGCATTCTGTTTTCTAGCAAGCAAATTCCTACAGGAAGAAAATAAGAGGGTTAGGAAACTTCTGGGCATTTATAAAAATACCAGGACAACGAGTCACTCTTGAATGAACACAAGTAGACTTTCCTTTGAAACAACAATGTGATGAACCACAAGCTTTAATTGTGTGATTTTTCACGTAAGACACAGAATTACGCAGCAAGGAAAAATCCCTTAAGCCACAAATAAGTTTTTTGTTGTTCCACTGTTACAGATACAAATTCTATAACTTAAAGTAAGGAAACACCTCATACTATAACAAAGTCTATAACAAAAGTGACCTTTAAAGTCAGACGGTACTGAATTGAAACTTGGCTTCAACACTCACTAGCTGTGTAACTCTGACCAGTACATTAACCTTTCTAAGCTTGTTTCCTTATGTTTAACAAGGGTCTCTGCGGGAATTAGAATTACAGGTACACGATCAGTGCTTAAGAAATAAGAGCTGCTAGGGGTGCCCTGGGGGGCTCAGTCAGCTCAGTGTCTGACTGGATTTTGGCTCAGGTCACGATCTCACGGTTCGTGAGACAGAGCCCCATGTTGGGCTCTGTGCTAACAGCGTGGAGCCTGCCTGGGATTCTCTCTTCCCTTCTCTGACCCTCTCCTGCTCATGCCCCTTACTCTCTCTGTCTCTCAAAATAAATAACCTTTAAAAAAATAAGAAAGAAATTATATTAAGTCAGAGCTGCTTTAATAATTAACCTCTAGCTCAGTTTAAATTACCGATGGGGGGCACCTGGTTGGCTCAGTTGGTGGAGCACACACCTCTCAATCTTGGGGTTGTGAGTTTGAGCCCCACCTTGCGCACGGAGCCTACTTAAAATTAATTATCTATAAGGTAAATTTATATTGCCTATTTATAGTCTCCACATATAACGAAAAGACAGCCACTCAAGAGAGAGTCCAGGGTCTTCCATCCCAACAACATGTAAACAGGTCCCAAATAACACAAATAAATCCCAAACGGTAGTACAAAATAAACTACGTTCTGGAAGGCCCATTCATTCACAACAAATGGTTTCCAGGGCTCACTGGAAAGTAGAAGATGAACCCGCAGCAGCTCGTGTGCTAGAAAGTAAGAAAGTGCTGAAAGAAATATAGGGGGGACACATCTGAAGGGAACGGCAGCCAGCTTGAAACAAGGGCTCCCACTGGCTACATCTGGAGCAATCTAACCATCAAGATAAATGATGAGAGCAAGGGACTATAGTCGCTTGAATGAAACAAAAATCCAAGCACCCACATGGATACAAACAAGAGGAGGAGGAGGGAAAAATGTCGCTGAACAAGCCCAGGAAGACTGATGGAGGCAGGAGAGGAGGGATCGGGGCGAACCTGGTAGCTGACAGCTGCAGGAGGAAGAGGGTTTCCAAAGGGCTTGAAAGTATCTCCCACAGATTACGAGTTAATTACAAAGGCAACCCTCCTCAGGCAAGTGCTCGAAGCCGCATTCCCAATGTCAGAGGAGACAGCACAGGCCCGCGGCTCCGATGTGCCCAGAACAGCACACCATATGGATGGAGGGAGGCAGGCAGACAGATAATCAATCAGAGAAGATCCCTGAAACAACCAACAACATGTGAATGCAGACCGCGGACTAAGAAACAGCACAGGGTTGGTTGATGTTGCATTTCCCGACCTTACAACTGCACAGTCGGTGGTTATGTGAGAGAATGCTCTTGTTCTTAGGGGATATACAGATATATTGAGGGTGAGACAGGCATGATGTCTCCAGCTGATTCTCTTAATGCTTCGAAGAAATACTTACTTGCTTATATGGCACATATACCACACTCACAGGACAGATAAAACGAAGTGAAACACAGAGTGTATCGAAGTAAAGAATGCATGCAAGTTCCCTGTGTTTTTCTTGAAACTTTTCAATACATTTGAAATCAGATCAAAATAGAGTCATGGGGCGTCTGGGTGGCTCATCAGGTGAGCATCCAGCTTCGGCTGAGGTCATGATCTCACAGTTCATGGGAGTCCCATGTCAGGCTCCCTGCGGTCAACGTGGAGTCTCCCTCTCTCTCTGCCCCTCCCCTACTTGTGCACATGCACTCGCTCTCAAAAATAAATAAAGCATTAAAAAAATAAAGTTATGAACACTTTCAGAAAAGGAAACAAATGGTCTCACTGTCTTCTCTTCTGTTGTGGTTACAATAGAATCCATTTCAGAAACCGTTTCATAGCCCAAGGCAATTCTATACATACCTTTATAATAAGAAAAAAACTTTGGTTGAAAAGAAAGAAAGAAACTCTGGGCTATCCCCAGGCCCAGCCTGTGTACCGCCTAAGACAGCCATTGGTGAAACACACACGGTTCAAACCGAGCTAAAATGTCAGGCACCCAGGAGGATACTAAGAGCCTGGGCATCCAGAATTCGGTTCACTAACAGCTGACATTTTGCTAAAGAGGAGTTGCCTCTGGAGAAGGGGACTGGGCACAAGGGACTAACGGTGAGGAACCCCAATGCACCTGGAAGGGGAGGGGACAGGAGTGAGGGCTACACCTCCTGATGAACCTCAACCCTATTGTGGAGGGACGCATGTCAGTGAGGGTCTAGAGGGACAAGGAACGGAATAGAGAACCCCACAGAAGCGACTGGGCATCTGTGCTCCGGGAGGCGGAATGTAAATGTGGTCCTGGTCACAGAGACGGGGCCAGCAGGGGCAAGAGGAACAGAAACATTGGTTTTTCCGTCCACTGGACAACGATGTAAATCTGTACAAATGTAGTGCAGATGAAACCTACCAAAATCATGATTCATGACAGACCATGACTTATCAAAGGCATCTTTGGCTGTATTATTTTTTGTGGATGAGAGCTGAGGACCTCGGAACGGACAGGAATCCCTCCCTAGCTTCAGCTGTGTGTGTCACTGGCATAGGCAACAGGTGCCTCTTGCTCCCCTTTCAGGTCGGTGGGTCATCGGAAGGCTGGCATGGATCTGGCTGTTGGGCCCAGGAGGCCACATGGAACCGAGGACCTGCCTCCTCCCATCATGTGACCAAACCCCACTCCCGGGCAGGTGCAGTGAGAGAACTCAGATGGGGCAGGGAGAGCCCAGTAGCCCTGACGGTTCCCTTTAACCCTGTGCGGTCCTCCTAACCCAGAGGCGCCCTTGGGAAGACACAGCCGTGGATCCCTCAGGCTGTCCCTTCACGAGCCCTGTGCCATAGCGAGTTAGCAGAAGCCCTGGCCCTCAGACAGCCTAAGCGCTCTCATGTAGTGGAGTAGACAGTGGCCATAGCCAGTATCTGTGACACCTCACCAGGGGGCAGAACACAGGGACTGCTTGATTCAAGCTTCCTCAAATCCACCTGTCCCACCACCATCTTCAGGAAGTACTCCCGTCCGTCCTGGTTCTGCAGAACCTCTGGACTCACTCTGCAAAGCTGACCCAGACCGGCTGCCACCCGTCCAACCTCCGGGCCTGGGCTCCCACGGAAGCTATTTCCACAGCACCCACCCTGCTGCTCTGTGCCTGTCGGGTGCACACCCTCTCTCCACACACCTGTCTCTAGGGGTGCGGGCTGTGGGGGGGCAGGGCAGAGTCACCTCTGCATCCCCAGAATTCTATCCAGCACGCAGGAGGCGCTCTATACAAATGGGGCAGCCGCATGTGCAGGGGAGGCAGGTGCAGAGCTATGAGGAGGCAGAATGGGACCTCAGCCCATCACCCTCCAACCTGGGGCCCGTGGAGTGAACCACCTCCGAGGGCGGCAGTGATGCCTAAGTGCAAGCTTCCACACACGCTCCAGGTGAAGGGCAAGTCCAGACAAATCAAGGCCCAGGACTAAGAACTAAACAGAGATAAGCTCTGAGCAGGGTTAAGAGAATGCCCTGAAAGAAGGGGCCGTGGAAGATGGGGGGGGGGGGGCGAACGCGGTGAGGGGTTGCTGGGAGAGGAGGGAGGAGGGGCGGAACAGAACACCACAATCTGCTCCCAGGCCAGAGCCCTCCTGGGGGGCAGCCAGCAGCTGTGCACGAAGGCTGAGGACAGCGCCCGGAGCGCTGTTCCAAGCCTGACGCAGAGCCAGTCCTGGAGACTCCCTTTGTTTTGCATGCCCAGTAGAGGGCCCTTTGCCCCAGGGCTCGAATCCTTTGCGAAGGAAGAAGCATTCACTCTACTGGCAGCATCAAGGACCTCAGCTGTCGACCTCAATCCAGTCTCTGAAGGGCAGAAACAACACCAAAATGGGCCAGACTCTCACCTGAGCCGGAAGGGAATCAAATCAGCAAGGGCCAATAAACAACCAGTGGGTCCTCAATCCGCAGGGCACAATGACACGGTCTAACCAAAGCTGTCGGCATCGGGGTTCCCTGAGAGCCACCCGGGCTCCGGATGCTGAAGCCTGCCCCACCCACCCGCACCCACGGCTTTCCTCCTGACTAGCCCCTTCCTCCAGGATGCCCGCTCACATCCTGCAGCCGGCGGGAGGAGTAATGGCTGAAGGGGAAGCACCGAGGACTTGTCCACAAACGAGGTGAACCTCATTTCTAAGAGGCTGACGAGGGCCTTACAATCCTTCCTGAGCCTCGTCCCAGGAGCACCCCCGCAGGCAGGCAGCCAGAGCGGAGATCTCTCATTCATGCACTGAATTTTTCTGAGGGCCGCACCACAAGAGGCAGTCTTACTTGCTCGGAAACCCTCAGTCTCGCCCCAGGTTAGCTCCAAAGCTCTCACCTGATTTGGCAAGGGTCTGGCCCCTCTTCCCAGTCCTCCTCCTTGGGTCATTCGGGGCCGCGCACACATCCGGGCAGGCACACAGCCTGTCACCCCACCCCACCCCCCAGTGTGCTTGCCCCACCCTTTCTTCAGGTGTCCCTGGAGCACAGGACCAAGATCCATCAAGCCCTGGGCCCCTGCAGAACTCCCGCTGCATCTACCATGATGCTCCAGAAATCTCTCCGCCACACAGTGGGCCCAGATGGATGGCACCAGCCCTGTCCCCCAAATCCCTTCAATGGCTTCCACCTGTTTGTGG